CWRGCCKCYWRGSCGCTAAGGCTGAGGCCTTGGAGAGCGATGTTAGCAGATCCGGGAAAGAGTGTGTGTCTGGGTTGTGTTCTTGACACACTTGTAAGATTGCTTGTCTCATTTCCTGGGTTTTCAGGAGGGAGTTATTGATTTTGTAAAAGCCCTTCCCCCTACTGATTAGTTTGTCTGATGTCAAAGTCAAAAGGATAGGTTTGTGGTCCAGACCCACATCGTACGGTAGTGAACCTATGGTTACAAAATGCAACATACCTGTTACGCCTGGGGATGTTAGGAAATAGTCTATCCTAGATGCAGACATGTGTTGGCTATGGTTTCTCTTTCGGTAGGTAAATCGTCTTTCGTCTGGGAAGAGTAACGTATAGGGGTCTAACAGTTCTAGATTTGTCATTAACCCATGAATTGGTAACGACTCTTCTGTCGTGCCCTCCTCTTCAGATCTAAAGCCCCCTGATATTCTGTCTAGGGTGGGATCTAAGGTGGCGTTCCAGTCCCCTGCTAATATCACGTGTCTGTTCCCATCCAGAATTTCCTTAAGCCTTTCGATCATATCCAATCTTTGTTGATAACCATTTGGACAGTAAACCGAAAGAAGCGTGTAGGGTTCCTCCAGCAACTCGAAGTCAATCTTGACCCATCTTCCCTCCTCCTCATCCACCCTTGTATCTGTAATGATAATCTTGTCTGCCGCGTTCGCTCTTTTGTTCTGTAGAATAACCACTCCCGTAGAATGGTTGTTTGCTGCTGGGGCCCACCATGCTGCTTTAACTCTATGCAGTTTCTTCTATCTCCTTTTCTGGTGACCTACAAAATCTTGTAGGTGTGTTTCCTGCAAGCACAATAAATCCGGCGGAGACGAAGAGAACCATTCAGCGTAATTTACTATATTTTGCTACTTGTCTCGATTCTCTAAAATCCCAACTAGCCCATTCACGTTCCATGATGCTATTTTGAGTTTCGGAGGACCCTTCACCCTTTCAATCATTCTTCTCCGCTTTCCTGGTCTTTCTGACTCTCCTCTCTTCATTGGGTCTCCTCGTTAATATGTGGATTTCTCCTCTATCTTTCCATTTTCAAGTATCAAGTGCAGTGAGTTCTAAGACTGTTGCTACCTCACTTACCTTCTCCTTTAAGAATTCTGGCTTCCAAACGAAAGCCTCCATCTTCACAGCGACAGCTGTGCACCTCGCCACCCATTACGTGCTCAATTGCCCTCCCAGAAACCCATAAGGGATGGTCTCCACCACCCGCCACGACATCCAGATCAAGCCCTCCCTGAGTTCGGACCCTGCCCCCATTTGAAGAAGCAACGGGCCAACGTCAGTTGTTGTCTCCTCGTCGCCTTCCCCCCCTATTGACATTGGCTCAACTTCTCTCTCCCTCAATACCAACGCTCGAGCCGGCATCTCTCCCCCTATTAATCTCTGAAGGTCCGAGCCTGAGCATTGATCTATCGGGGCCGTTAGCAATTGTAGGGATTGGTTGATTGCCACCTCCCAGTCCGAGTGTCTTGCATTCCACCTGCAAGGTAAGACCACTCTCCTCCTTGTCACATTCTTGGTTTCCAGACGGGCCGCAACTTTTATCTCCTTCCACTGGTCTTTTGCTATCTTTGCATATTCACTGTGTCGTCCTCCAGCTCTCTGTTCTCGTCCTTGAGCAGGTTTACCTGCACCACCAAAATCGCTGCTTGCCTTCTCAAGTCCTGAACCTCCTCCTCTTCGCTCTCTCTCTTCTCCTGATCCTCCTCCATTGCTGCCCCTTCCATTGAATCTTTCATACCATTGGTTGAACTGCCTTGCTCCTCTGACAGTTGTGCCTTTCTTTTCCCGCTGTTTCCCTTTCTTTCCTTGTTGTGATAGCTCTTTGGCCATTGAAATAACCTCCCATACTCCTCTTGCTGAATGTGAATCTCATTCCTTATTGTGCAGCTCTTCCTTGCATATTGGGATGCATAAAACTCATTGATTTCCCCCTCCCTCCTAAGCAGTTCGAACCTGTTTTCTGATGTGATGTCTTCACCTGCTTGTGTGGCTAGTTGTAGGTTCCTCAAATGCTTGTGGTGGGCCAGCCTGATTTCACACTCGGTCGTCCTGCCCCATTCCAGTTGTTCCACCTCTTTTATCCATCGGTCCCTTGTCCAGTCCTCCGCATCTGCGTCCTCCTGGTCCTCCTCCTCCTCTTCTTCTTCTTCCCCCATTGAGGATTCGTTGTCTTCTTCTTTTGAACTCTCCCTCTGGTCCTCCTCTGCCTGCAGAATCTGTTGTACTGTCATGTTATCGACATTTTGCATGCCCTTCTTTCTCGCCCTTTCTCTTACCATTTCTTCATCTTCGAGTGACTCATGGTCCTGGGCCCCCCGGGAACCGCATTTGTCTTCCTCGTACTGTGAGGAACCTTCTGGGTGGTCATTGTCAACTAAGTCATCCTCTCTCTCTCCTGCTGTGCCTGTCCCTTCTTCACCTGTCCCACTTCCCCTTGAGGTCACCTCCATAGAGTTTGAGTTTGAATCCCTCGCCTTCCCTAGGCTCTCTGCTGATTCCCCCTCCTCGTTCCCCGCAGCGTCCTCCCTTCCAGATTGGGTCTTTTGTCTTCTTTTTCCCTGCTGCAAATCACTATCTTGAGAGTTGGACCCAGTCTCTCCTCTTGCCTCTCCTTTCCTCTTGGTGGAGGTACTTCCTCTCTCTGTTCCTGTCTTCCCATCTTGCTCGCAGTCCATATTGTCTCCCTCCCCCTCTTCCATTTCTCTCGACGTCCCCTCCTTGTCTCCTGACTGACCCTACTGCTGTGCTCTGGCCTCAGCATTCTCCAAGAATGCTAATTCTGCATTCTTCCCGATCTCATGAAGTTCCCTCATGAGTTTCAATCTCTGCTCCACATCCTGCATTACTTCCTCCTCTAACATGGGTCTAATAAGAAATCCCGTTTCCTTGTCCTCCATGCGTTTAGCTCCTGTGTGTCTCCACCTGCTGTCATAAGGGGGATAGATGTCCGGCTTAACTGTTGGTTCCCCCTTCATCACCCAAACCCACTTTGGGTTTTCCAAGTTGTCATCAAAGATCCAACCCCTGTATTGTGCTGCATTTATGTACCAAACTCCAGGTTTGCTCTCGCACTCCTGCAACATCGATTGCTTCAGAGCCAACTTCTTTCCCCCTGTTTCTCCTAATCTCCCTTGTGGGCATGAAGTACCCAAGTGGCCTCTGCCTTTGCATTTGAAGCAGAAAGGATTGGTCTTGGAAGAGATGAACATTGTGACTCTTTGGCCGCTTTTCTTGAAGATCCACTGGTCCGGGAATTTTGGTGGTGCCCCTGACGTTACTTCCAAGCAAGCCACCCTTGCATTGTGATTGGGTGCCAGGAAGTCTGGGTTGGCCGGGAGCCATTCGATGATTGGGTTGTTGGGGTACTCCGCTTTCAGCCTGCATTGAACGAAACTGTGCATTCCTTCCGACAGATTATCAAACTGAACCCAGAAGTGGTTTCTCAGCATCGATTGTCTGTGTCTTGATGCCTCCGCCTGTGGTGGTCTTGGTGGTTTCCAGGGTTGGATTGTAACGACCGACCCCTTGCATTTCAGTGATCCGATCGATATCAGGTATTGCGCATAAGTTGGATCGACGCAGATGATCATGACTGCCAATCTTCCCCTCTTGTGGTATGATACCTCCGGTTCCTTCCCTGGGACGTTTTCCATGGTTGTTAGCCTGTCCATCACCCATCTTCTATTTTCGTTCAGAGAAAGCTCCCTGCTTCTTCCTGAAAAGTTGAACAACACCGCATGCTTCTCGTAGAGATCATTCAGGGACTGGATGTCCTCCTCCGGGTATTCCCAAACATCCACTTCCTCATCCTTTCCCCCCTCCCCCTTGATTACTTCCTTTGTCACTTTGATCTCCGCCTTGATCTGAGTTTTCTCCATAAGGAAATCCATAGCCTTCTGCCCCAAGGTTCGTGACCTTGCAGATTCTGACCTTGAGTTCGTGCCTGACTGAGATGGCATCTGCCCTGAGTGGCTCGTTGAATGGCTCGTTGGCGCCCCCCCTTGTCCTTTCTCAAACTCCCGCTTCTCCTTCTCACTCATTGCCCTTTGAGCTGCCTGAGAATATGAGATCGCCATTTCTGGGGATGAGCACCTGGGACAGSGGYWGTGCARATTATCAGTTAGCAGACCTCACGCTTGAAAGGGGATGGATAAAACTGGGCTGCGGAGAGAAGTGGGAACAGAGCAAGGGACTGTGTTAGGCTCGTAAGGAGTTGAAGTCCCGCAGGAATGGGTCTTCGTACGATGCTGCCTTGTGGGGTTAAGAGCACTTGAATTTTATTCAGAAATTTGACAGCATTTTGCCTCCCCACTTGAGGATCGGCTTTTGGTCCAGATAGATTAGCGACGCATTGGAGTAAGGAAAGGTCTTCCTGGGAGAAATTATGGCCGAATAAGGAAAACCGACTTCAAGATTGAGTCGTGATGGAGGAATGGATCAATGAGGGGAAATTGGGTTCAGAGTACAGAACTCGTTGAAAAGAGAGATTTACTGCGCCAAACAAGGCATATTGTGGTCCAGGCGAGGGGTGTGAGAGCCGAATGAAGTGGGGTAGAATCGAGATGGGTTGGAAGATTGAGTCGGGGGATGGGTTCGTGGTGTGGTGGAATCAGCGTGGAGTGGAAGGGGGCTGCTGATGTGATGGGAACAGAACGGACGATGAGTACGTAAAGGGATGGGATCCGATCAAAGATGGGGTATGGTTGGAAGTTAAACCACTCACATGAGGTATTGGGTCCCAACTTCGTGCGAAAAATTGGACAGCGTTTTGCCTCCCCACTTGGGGATCGGCTTTTATCTGAAAGGAGAAATTTACCGATCTAAACCAGGCGCGTTGAGGTCGTGACTAGGCGGATGGGAGGCGAGTAGAGTTGGGATTGGGTTAGACTCGACGTGGGTTGGAAGATTGGGTCGGGGTTAGGGATCGTGGTGAGGTAGAATCGGCGTGGGGCGAAAGGGGTGCTGATGTGGTGAGATCGGGGTGGGTCGTGAATACGAGATGGGATGGGATCAGATCCAGGGAGAGGTCAGGATGGAGATTGGATCGCACTCGTGGGGTATAGGGGACTGAGTTGATAACGGGAGCTGGCCTATTGCGGGATAGTTTCGAGGTAGGGGAAAGGGTCGGGTCCGCGATGGAGAGGGGGTAAGGTGAACAGTGAGGGAGGGGTGGGCAGTGGAATCGTGATGGGATGGAGACGGAACGGTGGAGTGGGCACGGGTTGGGTTGATGACAGGGGAGGTAAGTAGCTTGTGAAGGCCAGGGATCGGAGTGAAATTGGGATCCGTGTGGGGGGGGCTGGATTGCGTGTGTGCGGTGGAGGGAACGGGATGAGATAGGGAGTGGGAAAGGAATGGATAGCGATCGGGGTGGCGGGAGGGACTGGGGACAAACTCAGGGCGAGAGATAGTGGAGATGGCGGGAGGTGATTGCGCATGTGAGGTGGTGGGAACGGGAAGAGCAAGGGAGTGGGATAGGAATGGATGACGTTCGGGGTGGAGGGAGGGACTGGGAACAATCTCCGGATGGGGGATAGTGGAGATGGCGGGAGATAATAGGTATGGGTTGGGTGGGATCTGAGTGGGGTTGATAGCAGGCGTTGGCGTATAGTGGGATGGCTTGGAAGTAGGGGGAAAGGTCGGGTACACGAAGGAATGGGGGTGAGGTGAAAAGTGAGAAAGGGGTGGACGGTGGAGACGTGATGGGATGGGGTCGGATCGGAAGAGAGGGGTCGGGCTGGGATGAGGTCGGGGAGGAAAGGCGCTTGTTGTGGGCCGAGCTCGAAGTGGGAAGGGGATCCGGGTGGATGATGGGAAGATACACTCGTTAGGTGGTGGGAGCGGGTAGAGAAGGGAGTGGGCTCGGAATTGGTTGGGATTGGGGTGGGGGGGAGGGAGTGGGGGCGAATTCAGGGTGGGAGATAGTAAAGGAGACAGATTTACGACGTAGTGAGTGAGGAGAGAGGAATGGGGAAGGGTTGGGAGGAGAGAACAGTGTGGAAAATGGACTCGGTGAGGGGGGCGCCGATGATGGTGACCGAGCTGATTCGCGATGGGGACGGGTCCCTGTACTCTTGGATTTGAACGCTGGTTTAGGCAAGCTGTTAGATCTGGAGGACCGGGATAATTTGGTGGTTGTAGGCGAAGATGGTGGGTGAGATGGAAATTAGTGTCTGCCCTCACTTAAAATGCCGCTCGCTGTCTTTCGAAAATTCTTCAGTCTCCCGACCAGATTGAGTCTGCTCCTTGCATTGCGTTGAATGTAGCCGAAAGGTGTATGCTCTCTTTACCTTGAGCGTATCTCCAAAATCTTTCGTCCTCTTACTCCACCTTCCTCTTTCCTTCCTCGTTGATTGTTCTCTCTCGTCCCTTATTCTCACCTTTCCTGCCTTTCCCTGCCCTGACTCGCAAGCATTGAGAATGGCCACGCCCACAGGCGTGGCTTGGCGCTGACGTGGGGAGCCCTCCAGAGCCCACCCTCTTTCTTGCTTTTGATAGGGCTATGGCGCGCGGCGCAATTCCCCCTGGGCGCTGGTACACGCTCTTGTGCAGAGGCGGTGCTTGGGTCGCGGGTCGGCGCTACCCGGTTGGCGCTAGCGCTCCGCGTCCGCGTCAGTCCCTGCGTCAGTCTCGCCGCGACAGTCCGGTTCCTATTCCACCGGCAAGTCAAAGTATAATACATCACAGCAACCAACTCACGCTTCCTCCCGTCTGGCCGGAGGACCCCTGAACAGCATTGATTGCTCCACGTTGGGTGGAGGATTGACTGTCAGCTTGCCCAGAGTCGCTCTTCCCTCTCAGATCTACTGTTGCAGTCCTGCCAGATTTATCTGTTATACCTAGAAAGAGTTCCTCCCGTGCTGTTGCCCGCTCATGCTGTCCCTCATCCCCAACCCGCACTTATTTGCTATGATTTCCTTAGTTCCAGCTACTCTCCCCCATCCTCTGAGTTCTGTTGAACCCTAAACCCTAAACCCTAAACCCTGCCCTTGTTTGGATGCCTTAAATGATAACTTTTCCTCCCTTGCTTCCGCCTTCCAGTGATGTGTCGACCGGATCCCTCTGTATCCTCATACTGCCGTCACTTCTCTATGAGACCCTCCCCACTCTACACCCTCTGTATTCCCGGCCCTCCTTCCCTCATTTTTCGATCTTCAATCGGCGGCACTTCCCGTGGGCTCGGACGGTTCTTACTGACGTACGCAGTTTCGCTCCCCTTTCTTCCTCTAGAGCCACAAGCGGCCCGTGCTGGATTGTGGCGAACGGCTGAGGTGACAAGGCAGGTAGACCCTGTGGAAGCGGTCTCCTGCAACCTAATCCGGTGAAACCCGCTTCGACCCCAACCCTCTCTTGGCAATGATAGTTGCTTCCTCCGTTGGTGTCTGTTGCCGTACAATCCTATCCGGAATTGAGTTTTTAATTTTAAACAGGTCCTTATGGTCCTGGCTCCATATCCATTCTGGGGAGCGTCAGTCCGGTTCCTATTCCCCCGGCAAGTCAAAATTGAATTCATCATAGGACACACTCACGCATTGATTACTCCTGACAGGAGGATTGACTGTCACCTTGCCTTTCTCTGGGATCCCTCTCAGATTCCTCTGTGAGAGTTTGTCGGCTAAAGCTTTGAAAAACAAGGATAACTGAGAAACGACAAAAAGGTTGCTCTTGAGTAGCTCTGAGGGTTTTTGAACATCCTTATGTGGCCTGTGGCTCCCGTAGGCCGCCCGTTGAGTACAGTCTTGAACTTCTCCA